TGTAGAGCTTTGATTCGTAATGCAGGTGGTAAGTCTGATATATGTACATACATACAGTAATTGTCTTTCAAATTTAATTTTAAATTTCATTAAAATTAATATTTATATCGAATATAAATGTAAAGAACTATATTTTTTATTAATGTATAAATAAATTATAAATAAAATAGAAAAAAAAATTATAATATATACACTGTCATTTAGTGGATTAGGTTTATAAGTTCTTACCATTTTGATACACGTTCAGAAAATTTGTTTATAATTTAAAATGGTTTATATATATATATATATATATATATATATATATTTTAACATGAATTGTTTCATTGTTATAAGAATACTACAAAATATATTTGTATAATTGAGTTGTTTACTTTAATATAACGGATCGTTTCGAAAAAACAAACATTTTTTTTGTATTTATTTATTTACAATCTGTCCATAAGTAGACAATGAGTAAATTTAATAGCATCTATAAAATTACAGAAATAAAAAGCTTCCAATGAAACTTATTATTATATACTACACACATTGTACGCTATTTATCTATATTACTTATCCGGTAGATCAAGAATATGTATATTTCTTTTAAGTCCTTTTTATTGTTAAACTAGTATTCATAAAATTTAAAGCCAAGTTATGGTTATGATTCCTATAGGCCTAAGTGGATTCGTAGGGATCGTCAGTATAATCTCTTGTTATGGTTATGCAGTCTATTAATATATCTCTATTGCTGTAGGCACTTATTTCGTCCTTTACATGTTCATAAATGAATATTAAAGCAAAAGTTTGAGGTTTGCATGTAGAAATGAATAAATGCAAATGTTTTTGGTTATTGTACGAACCATAAATAAAATCAGTCCTAACCATTGGTAGCCACAATGGTTCAATTGAATAAACTTTTGCAACGGGAAACGACAAACAAATTCAGTGGCAAGAAAATCTTTCTTTGGTGATTTTATTTTTTGCGGGTGGAATATCTATGTATAAAACATTACCAACTTAAGATAATGGATTCAAATCGGTAAGAATAGATTAAAAATAATTTTAGTTTGCATTGAAGGGTTTAAATATATTGAGGCTTTTAATTGTTAATTGCCGTATGTGAAATCGTTTTATGAAATGACAATTATATTCGAAATAAGTCAAGGTACGAAAAATATAAAAGGTGGTAAATAAAAAGCAGTATACGGCTCGGATAGAAGATAGAAGAACATAGAAGAACATGGGTTTAGGTATAGCAAGATTGTAAGCAATTGCAAGAAATTTGGAGCTTGTGCTTTGTTGTTGTTCATTGTAAGCTTGCGCAATCTGTGCATTTCTTGCACATTGCAATGAGTTTGTAAGACAGAGTGAACACCTATTATTATCTTTACCATGGAAAAAGATTCTACAACTGTACGTTACGAGGGCGGTTTGATAAGTCTGTATCTTTTTGAATAAAACAAATTTTTTTTTGGCAAATAAACATTTTATTTCTCTACATAATCACCTTTTAGCTCAATATATTTAGTCCAGCGTTTTTCTAATTTTCTTATTCCCTCCAAATAATAGGTTTTCTCAAAGCTCTCAAAATACGCGTTTGTTTCGGTAATGATTTCTTTATTCTCAAATCTCTTACCGCCTAGCCATTTCTTTAGGTTTGGAAACAGAAAATAGTCGCAGGGGGCTAAATCTGGAGAATATGCTGGATGGGGTAGCAGTTCGTATCCCAATTCGTGGATTCGTGGATTCGTGGCCACAAATGCTTAATCAGCACACGAAATTCACTTTTTCTCATTTTCATAAAAATTCCAAAAGATACGAGATGTTTTTAGGATTTGCATTGCTGGCTTAAGTTTGAATAGCAATATTTCAGGCTCTGTTAATTGTAGAACGTTTTCAAATGATCCATATATGTAAGCCATCATATGCTTTTACTAAGAAAGAATTACATCAAATGATGTCTTTCAATTAAATCGTCGGAGTAGTATTGAGAAGCTTGCTAGGTTCCTTCAATTTTCTATTTCACTAACTATTGAGGTGTTGAGACCTCAGTGAATATCGGAATTACGAAAGTATTTCGAAAAAATTTGATTTTTAAGGATTATGTTAAATTATATTGATATTGCATATGGTGACGTAGTCCTAAATTTGTGCATCATAAGACCATATTTGGAGAGTTTTCATATTCTTCCTTAAGTCTGTCTATTTTTGTAACCTTCAGCTTGGATTAATTCAGCTATATTTTTATTTACTCCTTGCTACCTAATTTAGCATTAGGAGTCATGTCTAGTAGTTTTACTGAGTAGTTATTTGTTTCTTGGTTGGTGAAGTTCATATGAATTGGTTTACGGTTGTTTAGTTTAATTCTCTAAGTTTTCTTTCATTTTTGCTCTGCGTTTTCTCAATTCGTAGTTTAGTTGCCGCTGCTTTTGTGCCTTTTTTTGCTGTAAGTATGGCTGTGTAATCAGCAAAGGTGGTAACCATGTAATCTTTGGCCAAATTAAGGACCCAAGAATGCTTTCTTGACGGATGCCAGCTTTTATTTCTTTTACGTTGGAGTACTTATTTTCTTGTTTTATGCGAAAATATCTATGAGTTAAGTTTAACTTTATATGGGTACTGTATTGGAGTGGAAGATAAGATTTTAGTTATAATATGCTATTACTGAAGAGACTCTCTTCAGTTAACACGAAAAAGTTAAAAATGTGTCTTAATTCAAGATTCAATACTCAATTAGATGCATTGAAAATATCATAGATATACTGTACACGTTTCCTGGCTATATAAGTGTATGAGCAAATAATATTGACAAATGTTTTACTCTACATTTCAAAGAATCTGCAAGTGTCTGTGTTTTTTAATTTCATTTTCAAAAAGTCGTAGTTAACAATTGTCTGTTATTGTTAGGTTTTAGATCATTTAAGGGGTTGAAGTTGATCCAAATCTTCTCAAACTGTTTACATTTGATGTATATGAAGTTTGAAAAGTGGACATCTCGCACGGTTCCTTTGAAAGGAATTATGGTATTATCTTCAGCAAACATGTTAGCTATATTTAACAATAAGATATATCACAAGGTTTCTATAAAAACATTTATAATACTTTTCTTCGCAAACGTGTTAGGTATATAGTTGTCGTTAAAGTTTTTAGGTATTCAGACGAGCGTTACTTTGTTAACAACAAAACGATCCAATCTTAGTGATATTTAACTTTAATGTACAATATTTTACTAGTTAAAAAGAATATTTTCATGCGCAAGTGACATTAACTTCTATTTTATTAACTAGAAGTAATCAAAATCACTATATCAGTCAGACCCACAGAGCTGGAAAAGAAAAATGGCAAAACTAAATACATAAGCACTACGGCAGCTATGGCTTATTTGTTAGTATAACTGATCATTCTTTTAAAATGATTCAAGAATTTAAAATTGTACGTAGAATGCTTTATTTATAAAATGATATGTGCTTGATCTTCAGTTCACTATTTCGCTAATAGTGGATGGGAAGTTTACCACGCCCACTGACTATCATCGCTCAATACAGAATAGAGGGCTTGAACTACGAATCACTTCATTTAAAAGTACCAGAAATTGCCTCGATTCAGTTTTGATTTGAAAATACCACTGGTTTTTTTTTAGCAAGGAATTCTTAACTGGCAGAAAGATGAGAACATATCAAAGCATCCAATGGACAATATTCTTAATGAAATGTTCCATCGATAATTTTTTAAAAAATATAATTTTTTCAATAATAAAATTGTGATTAAATTTGTCTCTCCAGATATTAAGAGACTTATAACAGATATAAATATATCTGTAGATATATAAATATATCTATTTACATCTTCTTAGTAGTCTTATAAAATTCTGATAAGATATTGTTTTTAGGACATTTTTAGAACTTAGACACGGTCGCATCACATTTTTTAATATTTGGGGAAACATACAACTTTCTAATTCTTTATATTTGAACCTTTTTTATCCACTATGTACATAATGAAAAACTCACAAATATTAAAAAAAACTTTTGAATTTTTAGAATACAATTTATTTAATTTTTTATTTTTTTATAATAAAATTATTATTGTGAACTTTTTAACCGTAGTGCTTAAATTTAATAATTTTTTTTTTTAAATTTTTATTCGCAATTATTTATTTTCTATTGTTTAGGCAATAATGAAACTATTATTTTGATTTATTTATGTATATAACAATTTGATTTAAATATATATATAACTAAAGACAAAAATATTTAACTACTAAGAGAAATAAAAGTTGTATTTACAAAAAAAAATCTTAATTTAAAATCGTTTTTCTTGTATGTTTTGAACAAATTATATTGCAGAAAATTAATAAAACTAATCTTTTAAAGGAAGCAGCTGATATGTTGTAAAAATATTTTTTTTTTATAAAATACATTAATATACTATACATAAATATTATTAACTGTAGCAGCAATAAGTTAAATTCTTTTTTAGAATTTTCTTTTTCGTATATAATTTTTGTCATATTTTATATTTATTACTTTTATTAGTTAATTTATTTAAGTATTGATAAACGTATTGGCACACTATCTAAGTCTTATGCATGTACTAAATTATGTATATATAATATGTACTCGTATATATATTTAAATATAAAATGTTTATAGTTGCATTTGTTTTGCTATATCTTAAATTACAAAAGGAAAATGAGTATTTCTATATAGAGTAAAATTTATTAAATTTAAATTGAATTAAGTTTGTTTGAGTATTTTTAATATTAAATTTACAAAAAGCACTTAAAATTATTTAACAACATTAAATGTTTTAACATAATTAATTACTATAATTTTAAATTTTACATTTCAAAATTGTAATTTTAAAATATAATTTTATTATATATAAATGGATTACTAGTTAATTAATTGAATTATTTGTGTTTAATTCTTTGCATGAAAATAACCCTCATTATTATTTAATATTTACATAAAGTTTATTATTTAATTTACAAAAACAAAAAAAAAATTACGCATATTACATAAAATTGACAAATGTCAAATGTCAAATTAAACAACATTATTAGTGCCGCCATTAATTGACAATTTGACAGATGTCCGCATACGAACACTTATGTACATTCACACAAATCGTCATAAACACACACACGCAAATTCACATGTACACGTAAATCGACGATAACTTTACTGTAATTGGATTAAACGCCTTCCTGTCTACAATTATTTGTGAAACCCCACAACTCCCCGTATCAATAGGACAGACAACAGTAATACTAGAGGTAATAGTAACAGCAACAGGCGAAGTTGGCATAAATTGCAAGGAACACAGTATTAATCGCATTTGATTTGTGTCTGCGCTCTAATGTCTTAATAAATGACAAACTTTCTCTCTCTTCTCCCTACCGCTTCAATGGTACATGGCACATTCATAATTTGCTCGTCTAGAAAATTACACCATTCCATTTTGTGGTTCATCAGAGTTAATGGCAGACGATTTTGTTGTTGTGTAGTTGGGCGGGGGGCAAAGAATTTGTTGCTTGTATTTTATGTGTGCATAATGAAGCAGAAGATGTCATTTGTAATCCTTGGCATCCGTTTTGGCACTTCTTTTCTTCTTGTCATTAACTTTTAATGAGAATTTGTTCAGCTTTCCGCTATGCTCAGTACAATTCCACTGTTTTTATATATTTTTATTGTCTTTACTGGCGAATTAATGCAATGATGTTCTGTTAATATAGGGATTAGTCTGTATCATTTTAGCTTTTATGAGAAATTTATTCTAATGCTGTTATTGAGTGTTGGAAAGTCCTAGGAGAGCACCGTGGTACTAACAGAATAAATTAAAGCAAAGGTTTTCATTTTCTTTTTTGGTGTTGAGTTTTTTTTTCACTACGTATGCTTTCTTTTACTGTCCTACTTCAGTCTTTTGAACTCAGTTGCTTTTCCTTGCATTGAAGAACATTCTAGCCACTTTTCCGAGAGCACCAACTATATCCCAGCTTTCTCTAGATGGTAGCTGTGGTTGTTGTAGTTGCATATGTTGCTGTTGTTCTTGATGTTGATGGTGTTGCATTTGTTGGTGATTATGTTGCTGTTGATTATGATGTTGGCAGTCTTGTAGGTCGACCTATGAAGGCGTGGAGTACCAACCGCTTGCCGGTGCACCCTTGTGATATAAGTGGAAGCTTGAGTGTGGCGCAAAGTATTGTGGTTGATCTAAATTGCTATAGGTAACTCCACCATCAGTTGTGGTGCTTGTATGTGGGTGATGCATTGCTGTGTATGCTTGTGGTTTGACTGGTAACGCAGGTGTTACATTGCCATCATTACTGGTTGGTGTGCTATACTGTGCACGTAGCGGATCGACAAAATCATAGCCATTAGATGTATGTGTGGGAAGTTTGCTAACATTAAGCGCATTACTAGAGTCGCGTGGTGATACGGAACTTGGTGGTGTCATGGCATTATGATAATCTATTGAACTATGGTAACCACCGTAGGTAGATACCAAATTCGTAAAAGCATCTGTTGAGCTCTTTTGTGTATGTGAATGTAACTGTAGGTATTGGTTATCATATGATGATTCACTACCTGGTGGCGTGGGTAATGGTCCTGTTTGTTGATCACCATAAAAGACGCCGGTAGGTGCACGTATGACACTTTCACGTTTAGCGTAAATTTGACGTAGTAGTGCAGTTGCAGGCATGGGCACTGGTTGCTGATAGTGTGGGGTTCCGATCCATTGTATAGTACTACTTTTCTCATTCTGCTGTTGCTGTTGATGTTGCTGTTGTTGCTGTTGTTGTTGTTTTAGCAAAGCATCTGCACTAAAATCGGTGGTTGTTGGCATATTCGTATTACCGTTCGGTGAGGGTAAATGCTTTGACATAGCATTTTCTAAATCTTTGACTGAAGTTTCAGCATGCTGCTGTTGTTGTACTACAATTTGTTGTTGTTGTTGTGATTCATCCACAATTGATGGCAAACGACTGCGTGGCGTATCACGTTCGAGTGCTACCACTTTTGTCATCGGTTCCGTGGCATTTGCGTTTACTGCAACAACCGCATGGTCACCGCTTTCATCGGCTTGTATGGCGGTTTTACTCTTTCGCTTACGTTTTGTTGTTGTAGGTACAGCAACTTGTGCCGTTACAGTGGTGGGTAAAACATTGGTGTTAGCATCGACTTCTACACCTAAACCATTAGAATTATCTTTTATTAAATTTAAATTATTCGGGTTAGGATTTGAGCTTGAATTTGCATTTCGGCCACGTGTACGTTGTTGATGTCCATCTCCATCTGCTTTCAGTGTAGAGTTCTTGCCATCACCACTCAAGCTTGGATGGCCTTCTGCTGTAGGATCACCACCGGGTGAACCAGAACCTTTGTCATTTCCCAATTCTTCATGTTTAATGCAGTCAACACTGGGTTCTAATTGACAACAGTCAAGTATGAGATTTTCATTTTCACGATTGCTAAAATTTTTAAAAAAAATTTGTTTATTTAAATTTCAGTTCGCGCAGTTAAATAATTTTTTTTTACCTTATAACATAATTAACACATATAATGTTCTGTTCATCTGCATTTTTTGTGCTGCAAACTACTGTAGCACAACTTTGTAGCCACGTATAGCCACCATTTTTGTTCATCATACGATAGTAGCCAGTAAGTACTTGACCCTTTTCAATTACTGTAAAATAAGAAACAATGAAATTTGGTTTCATGATTTCGGATTTAATAAGTTAACTTACAGTCCATATGGCTCTTCCTTAAACGATTAGCATCCTCGGCATGACACAGCGAGTACAAACTTTTGTTAACTAAATCTTCGGGATTATAATCCAGTAAGTCTGATACTCTGGAAAGACACATAATTGGGTAGATAGTTAGAATTATTCAGTTTTTAAGTTGTTTTATAATAGATTTTTAATAATATTTAATTACATAACGTATAATTTAATTACTGGACTCGATTGTACGAAAATTCTCTGAATCATTGTGCTATCTTGATTTACCTTAACACAAGAAACAATAACGTAACACCGATGTTTTTCTGCCGTATAGTGTATTATCTTACGGTCATCGCTCAAACTGAAATAGAGATCATTCAAAGAACGGCCTGTCTAATTTCAAAATCCTTATTACTTATTTTATAAATTAGCTATTAGAATTCAAAAATGAAGACCACGTCCAAAATGTTTTTATTAAAGTTCAAGATAAGATAAGTTATAAGTTAAGTTTGGATATAATAAGTCCAAACTCGTTGTTAATATTTATTATTTTAGATTGAGGAATTTAATGAGAGAATAGTTAAAGCAAAACACTCCAGATATTTAACTTCAATATAACATGTACTCAGATGGCTTCAAAGTTGATGCCAAGATTTAGTTTAGAGTTTTTGCGGACTAAACATATTTAAGAAATTTGGCATAATAGTAGCCTTTGAAAGTGTGTTTCCCAACTCTCAAAGTTGCTGTTGTCATACTATTAAAAAATCACTCATCAAAATCTGATTTTAAATTACCCCATCGGTGGTTAAGCACTTATCAAAACCTTTCTCCCTTTATATATTAAATCTGTCTTAATGCGCATCTCTGAACAAGGTTAATATACCTAACAGTCTAACCATTTTTTGGATGTGCCCAACACAGTAGATAAACTGGCATGCGGATGTAATATAATCACATAATTAAGGATAATTAGTTGCCAAAACATTTTGCTCACAAGAGTCCCGTTTGGGAATGAAAACGGCATGATATAAGCGCATTAAAATACTTATAGTAATTGTTAGATTCGCTCCTGTTTGAGAACTATACCTATATGACTATATATTATAGTTTATTACAATGTATTATATATTCATATAACTTACTTTGGTTCACAATGCGCTATTCGGAAATCGAAATTAATTCTCGTTACGAACATGTCGCATTCCAATCTAATTTCATGCACAGACGGCGGCGGCAGTGCAATGGCCAGCGCCACCATACCAAGTAGGGGCGGCTGGGATTTCCTCGTATGCGAAAACGTATATTGCGGACGTAATTTACATAGTAGCAGAACAACCTGAAAATTAAATCAATATGTAATTATAGATGAGTTGAATATGATTTCAGTAGACATGAATGATATAAACATATTTCAAGAAATTTGAAATTTGATTTAATTTAATTTAATTAATTTTAAATCAATTATAGTATTTTAATTACAAAACAATTTGAATATATGTAATTATGAAAAATGTGATTTATTTACATTTGTTAAAAAAATTTAATAATAGTTAATAGTGTATTGAAAAATTGCTTAAGTATACTAATTTTATTATAATATAGTTATAAATTTATTCTATATATTTGTAAATTCATTCTACTAAGAATCAATTCGGATCAGATCTCTTTCAAGAAGTTTTTATAAATATTTAAATTTAGTGTTAATGTAAGACACTGTATCATAACCGGTTTTGAATCGTAAGCTTCGTCTGTTTTTTGTAATTAGTCCGAATCAATTTGGCTTAGCAAGTACTACTGGTTTTTAAACCAAATCTGTTGTTCAGAATATCGAACCTTAGCGTATTATAGTTATAGCATAAAAAAATTCACTCTGGTATTAACAGTAATTTTATAGAACCTTATATCGGAAAGTAGAATGCGATTTGTAAGTGGGAGTTCAAGACTCGATTAAAGACACAGTTACTAAGAAGTTGTAAGAAGTATGCGACTCTTGTAAATTCTTTGCTAGTATTGCCTCATTTAATTAAAAGCTTTGTCAATACAGTTTTCTAATACTTTATTTAATTCATTTATATTTAATCATTTATATTTATATTTAGATATATATTTTATTTAAATGTCAAATTATTTAATTTAATTTTATCGATCGGCTACAAAGAATTAGTAATGTGTTTAGTTTTTCTGTTTTAACAAGAGTTCAGATTTTGACTTAATCATTCCATTGAAAAACTAGTGATATATATATATATATCGATATTATAAATAAAAATATTAATCTTTTCGAATAAAGACTATCATATGTTTATAATCTTAATGTATTTTTTATAATCTTAATCCTTTTTATTAAAGATAAATTTTATTATTGCTCCGAAAAGAATATAGCATGTTTGGTAGATAAAGGCGATTTTTTTTTTATTTCAGAAGGAAATAGAAAAAGACATAAAATCGGTAGAAGTTTGAAAGTATTGATTCTATTAATAATTTCGATTCCTTACTTTATACTGTTTACTTTTAAAATGAAGCAGATGGTGTTATAAAAACACTTCTCTCATTTTAAATAAGGTACCAAGGGGTTATATAAAATTGAAGACTAATAAAATTAATATTCAATAAGAACATGAAGCAGAAGATATAGAATGACCCCAAATTACTTTTGCTGTACCTAACGACACCTACAGTGAACTTTCATTTGAAATGTGCTAATAGACCTAAATGAATCTTTACAATCACAGTAACACACATAACCTAATATAAAGAATGAAAGATTATAAAAGTAAAAACTAGTTCGGATAGTAAAAGCTAGTTCGGAGAGTAAAAGCAAAATGGAGAGCTACATATCTTTAATTAGGACTTCTTAAGGTAGTTATGCGATTATATTTCATCAGTATAGGAAAACTTTGTTATACCACAGATATCAAAATTGCTAAAATATTTTTGTTTATTCTCTTATTGAGAATAAATTGTCATCTTTCATCATCATCTATCATCTTTTATATAAGTGATTTAGATGATATTTTCCTCTAAGAATGAATATTTGCAAAAAATAAAGTATAAGAAAATTATCTTAAAGTAACTGCTTTTATACAAATTCTCAAAAATATTTAGATATTGAATTTTGTACACTTGTTTTTGTTGTATAAAAACACATCTTCATGCGTGGAATATATAAAGACTTAAGTTTATTTATTTTAGATGCATTTAAAAATCGAAGAATATAACATTCTTAATGCATATACAAAAGCTATTTTCTCATTTTTATTCCATGTTTTAGATGCAATTAGCTGACACTTATTTAACATAAAAGTATTATTTATATTCTTTGTGAAATTATTTTAAGTAGTATTCACTTTATGTATATATATAGTTCTAATAACTGGCACATTTTTTTTCACTTCTTAGTACTTTTATCTAGCATTTTGCCTTTTGTTAATTTTTACATATTTAAGTGGAGTATAATGTGTCATTTTCAATACATGATTTAAATGCTTTAGAAAATTAGATTAATAAGTTTTTGTTCACTGTTCACATTTAAAGTATCATATATTCGAACATTAATTATTTTATACATAATTTATATGTATAATATATAATAATTTATATTTAAATCAATAAAACAGTAAACTAATTATTGTAATTTATTATTGTAATTAACTTAATTGTAATTAATTAATTATTGTGGTGTAAATGTTTTAGTAAATAAATGTAATTATTCACTAGATTCACACAAGAGTTTTATTTGTAATTTTGGCTGTCAATTGTTGTTGCTTTCAATGATTTTGACAGTTAAAATTACAAACAAAACTTTCGTGTGAATCCAATATTATTAAATAAAAAAAATTGTTTCATGTTTTATTAAGTTGTTTATGCAGATAAGAGGTTAAATTTTTTTGGGTATTATTTATTATAAATATGAATAATATAAAAATACATATATTCGATACTGATCAATAAAATCAGTCTTCAGTATACATAAATATTGAACAAAAAAATTATTTTCTAACGCGTTAATTTTAAAACATTTTAATAGAAATTTAAAAAAAAAATGTTAGTATAAATTTTACTCAAATTTTATTTAATTATAGTTGTTAATTTTTCTTTTTTGCAAAACTATTATTTTATTAAAAACGAAAAATAATTTTATTTATTTCTTAAATTTTTTTGTTTGTAGTTTTGTACTGATTTTAATTGATACGTACCGAATAATTGGTGCCCGTCGTTTTACCATTTTTACCACCATTGACCAAAACATCGTTAGCCTGTAGATAAGTAGGGGATGGGATGGTAATACATACTTAAGTTTAATTGTTTATAACTTTTTTATGTGTAAATAATGCAAGACTAATACTACTTACACTAGAGCTAATAAAATAAAAAATTAAATGAAATATAAGCTCAAAAATATTAGTCTACCAAAAAGAATAATAAAATTCTAACTACTTCTAATAATGGAATGTCGTATAATGATAGTTAGTTTCGCTATTATAACTAAAAAATAATGTAGTTTTAAAGCTGATCTATTTATTTATATAAATTGTATTAGGTATATAATAAACACTTACCCTGTAACCGGAAGATTTGAAATGGCAGCCTCGTTTTGTTAGTGTCGACTTCATTCGTATACAAAATGAACGTTCGTAGCCCTTGTAACCGCTTGTAGATGAAACAGTCATTTGTGAGGAAACTAAAAAAATAACATTAAAATTATTTATAGAATATGTAGAACAAGCATTTATTATGTAAAGTAAGCATTATAGAATAATTATTGATCTTCTAATGGGACATTATCCGTTAAAAATACATGGTCACAAGATATTTTGGCTGGGGACAGAAATACTATGTCATTGAGTTGTCAAAAATATTTGTTACAAATTGGAGGTCAAATCGAAATAGTAGTTCATCAAGTTTCAGATTTAAACGAAAAGAGAATGTTTTTGTCTAAAATCTGCTACAGAATACAAAAAGCAATATAGGCTTTCGATAACATATTTGAATAACAATAGAAAATATGGAATATTTCTTTAATATTCGGTACATGTCGACATTGGTTATGGTGATAAGTTTTTAATCAGTTTAATCTATTTATGTCTTATTGTCTTACTATTGAAAAATCAATATATGGACTGGATCTTTTATGAAAGATATTATAAAAGATAATGTTATTACTAATGCTTAATATTAACAGAATATATTATACGTTTTCTAGCAACTTGTAGAACTATGGTTTCCATAAAACTAAAAGTTTGTTTCACTGATTTATCCAAATTTAAAATCGGACAAAGTAATGCTGGGCAAAATAAAACCATCGGCACTATTACGTGGATAAATTTAGATTGCCAGGCAGATATATATTCGCTGTAATCTAAAACCATTATTTTCAAAAGCCTAAGTCATCTCAAACACGACATATTTCTCCGTCCTAATAGATCTGAAATTAAATTAATCGTTGGCTTCTTAACTGTACATGGTGCTGTTGACTACCATCTATGAGACACTGATACATAAAGATTTCGTAGAGTGTATATAAATGTAGAGTGAAAGTTCTGCTTATTTTATCTGTGCCATTTGATTGACAAGAAATGTATTCACTAAATCTATACCACTTTGATTGAACTAAATAAAGTCTGGGATCTTGAACCAAAAGATATTAATTGGTTTATATATATCCTCTAAGAATTCACAACAAATCACATTACTATTTTGTTCCTTCTAATTATTAGTCTCTTTTTATATTAAAATGTGAATAAATGCAACAAACTTGATAAATTAACTGTTTTTTTAAGTCCTAAACCATAGTCCTAAGAGGTTAAATAATATGCCAAAATGTTCAAGGATTAGTTTCAAAAAGTGTGAAATATTTTTAATTTATCAGAGAGAGTAATTTTTCTAAAATATTCAATTTAACTTACCATCTGGATTATTTGTACCGTGCGTACCAGCGCCATCATCAGAAGCGCCAGATGTAGGTGAGGCTAGCCCCGTACCACTGCCATTACCTGTTACACCACCGGTGGATAGACTTAAACCTAATTGCTCAGCAATTTCAGCATGATCACTCTGATGTATATAATCAAATATGCTGCTGCCAGTCATTTCAACTTGCGATAGACCAAGATATATAGAAACTGTTTCCGATATATATAGGAAACGCCCATCAGCAGCAACAGCCAAAGCGAAACCGTCAAGTGACTAAGAGTACAAGCAAAAAATTCAAATTTATTTGGATAATAATATAAAGAAGTATATACATTATTATTTACATATAATTTATATGCATTTTTCTTCTAAATTATAAATGTATAAATATATAAAAACTTACTTGTAATATGTGGGTACCCTGATGTTGTTCAAAGAGATCAACGGCGGGACTACGTCTTATTGCTGCACCTGTATATGAAATAAAAATACAGAAATTTAAAAAATAAGAAGAGATTGTTATATCGTTAAAGGCATAAAAATTGCATTAAAATATAATATAATAAATTTATTGCTACTCATGGCTTAACGCCTCCATAATAAAATTTATGACCATAAACATTTCTACCAATCCGCCCATAAGTCACCTTTGCGGCACAACTGCCTGCAATAATCATAATCATAACTTCCCACTGGTCAATAATAAATATTTAAAATAATATGCGTTCCTATCCGGAAATACAAAAAAGCTCATTGGCTTTCTAGTAAAATATAAGAAAAAAATGTTTTTCTCAGCTGATTTTCTGATCCTTCTGCTGTATTTATTTGAACCATTTGCAGTATTTATTTAATTCAATTATAGAATTTTACGATTATTACACACACAACTCGATGTAAGCCTTCTAAGAAAGTGCCAAGGAATAAAAATAAAAAAGGCCAAAAATAAGTGAAAATATTATTAAATTGTGGCCAACCCTTGTTTTCATATTTTGCACACTTAAACTGGCTGACCCTTAACGCTTAAGTCCCCAGTGAATAACATATGAGAAGTAAAATGTATAGGAGTAGCTGAGAACTTGGCAAACAATTTCCGCTTCCGGCGTCCATAGTACTACACATTTATTGAGCCTCATTAATGACCTCAGAAAATGAAGAGGAAAAACACAAATGCTTTCTCTGATGCCAGTTCAATAATAGAAGTATTATTACGATTATTATTATTTTTTTGAAATATTTATTTTTTTTAGTTTTCTTTTATTTTTTTATACTATTATTTTTGCTAATTTTTTTTTTTTGGAGTGAAGTCAGGGGTGTTGTGCTTTGGGATGCTGCCAAAATGCGTTTCATGACTTTTTATTGTTTTGCTTTAAGGTTACACTTTTAAATACTCACATCCTACGTAGTTGGTATTATTGTAGTTGGCCTCGTATTACTACTGCCTCGTAGTCTCTCCATGAATCGCTGAACATGAGTGCTCATTGCTTATTATAAGCTTATTTTTATTTATTTTTTAAGTGCTCATGTCATTCCTTCCACCCTATTGAGTTGATTTTTTCTTTTTTGCTATTTAACTTAACGCCTTGCCTTGGTTACCTTCTGTTGTTGGTCGGTTATGTGCATTCGGTATTTCGTATGAGGGTCTTTCAGATTCTTGTTGTTAGTGCTGTTATTGTTAACCAAGAATGTCTTTAAAGTGACAATAGTGTGACATGTCTGGCGATGCATGACTTTTTGGAAATTTGCATAAAACGTTTTCAAAATTTCATTGTATTTTAGTTTTTTTTTTTCAAGTTTAAAAACATTAATTCAACATTAAAGACCGTGATGACAAATAAATTGTTATAAATAATTTAAAAATTTGATAAATCGAAATCGGTTTTTTACGAATATTTCAAACATTTTACCTTCGGCTTGCATATAAAATACTTATTTTGGAAACTTCTTATAAAAATGTATTTTTGTTTTTTTTAAATAAATTTAGATAAGGATTTATATCACGAACTTAGGAATAGTGTATTATTTCTAATACTGCAAATCCTTTAAGAAATAAGAAATATTATTAAAACATGCTTTACACATAAATTATTGTATTTTTAGAAAATCTCAATAAACGATTTCACGTTGTCATTAATAGTGATGACAACTATTAAGATCAGATATCAGCACTGTCAGCTATCTGTATCAATTGGAATATATCTTATATAATCCTTATGTTGCTTTAAGGAAGTTACTAACATATTGTGATATCAGCATAATGGTTTAAAGAGTGCTGTTATTTTAATTGGGGTTTTTACTAGGACTATGTGGTGTAATAAATGGGTACTACATGTCTGTTTGGTGGATGCAAGTTAACACTCGGGATTTTGTTTATGTGGAAATGCAATGATATTATGACGAATATTTTCAATTCCATAAAAAATTTGTTGTTTTTAAAATTGTTTGCAAAATATAGGTTCCTGAGATAATTATCAGCACAAATTCAAGTAGCAGTTATGTGCTTTTATAAGAGCAAAATTTATGATTAATAGATGGCAATTTAGTCCAAATTTTTTTGATTAGATATACATATGAATGAATGGATCTCAGAAACACCCTTAAGAATTATTTTTGCATATTTTATTTCAATTTATTGTCTGAATTATCCGATTTCATTTATGTTGACAAATATTTAATTTTCATTTGAAAATAGATATTTATTTTAAATTTAATTCAATTGACTTAGAAGCTAATACTTGACACTATATACCTTCTGCTCAAAGAGTATCCGGCAGTAAAAAAGTATTACAGCAGCTGTTAATGTGAGACTATCTCAAGTGCATTTAGCGATTTTTACTATGGAAAATTCTTGTTGTACGCGATTTTTTGACATAAACACGGCACCACTGTCATCGCTCAGGCACCATACTCGCCAGATCTGGCACCGTGCGACTTTTTCCTGTTCCCGAAAAATTGCCCTCTCGTGGTAAGCGTTTTGAGTCGATTGAATCGGAAGAAGAGAATTCGCCGAAGGAACTAAAAGCCATACCTGCACTGGCCTACGAAAAGTGTGTGGAAGATTGAGTAAAGCGTTGGCATATGTGTATCGCTTCAGAAGGAGCATATTTTGAAGGAGATAAAATAAATTCAGAATAAAATTTAAATTTGTGTTTTATTTACAAAATCCGGGTACTTTTTGAGCTAGAGGTAAAATGTTGAGTGAATATTCGGCCGATCTTATGTTCACGTGTCCTGCTGTTAAAAGTTAAACTTTTAAATATAAAATTGTTTTTCGGTTTATCAATAATAATAATTTAATACAATTTAATTTAGGAGTATTTCTCCAAGTGAAAGTAATAAATTTTATAGGCCAGGTCATGACATTATATGTATGGCTAAATTTAAAATTAAGTCATATAAAGGTATACATATATACAAAAAACTTATAATATGTTCGTTAAGAATATGTAGGGAAAAGATTGGAAAATGCTTTGGAGACAAATAATAACATTCAATACAATAACCAATATTCAACCCGGTCTCTAATAATATTATTATATATTGATAAATTTGATTTCAGTCACGTGGACATTATGGAAACATTTTAAAAACAGCAAGGTTTAAGATTACATCTAAAATCTTTCAAAACTCCTTCAAATATGTAATAGTGTATCTCAAGATTATTGCTTATAATGCTTAAGTCGTTGTTCATTATAAAGTCTTAATGATTTCAAAAATATATATACTATACATGTATAAAGAAAAAGAAAAAGAAACGATTCTCTAAATCATTTTATTTAGGTATGCACACGACATTTATAATAATTATTTCTAATAACTGATTTGATATCCATTATCTTAAAAGTCACATAAAATCAATAAATATAGTGGGTTATTTGTTGGCACATGGATGAATAAATTCTAGTTTTTTCATTTAAGAGTTTAGTACATTCATAAATTTTTATAAATTGACAATTATTATGATATCAATGCTGTTGCCAAATAAAATATAAAATTAGACATAATTAAAATTCAAGGCAATTTATTTTTTTTAATTGCTAACGACAATAAAATAAATAAGCTTTAGTAGACAATTGAAAATTTAACTAAATTTCAACCTTCAGTTACTTACGAAAAATTCCCATCAAATAATTTATAATATATATAATAAAATACGACATGGCCTTTTGCGAGCCATTCTCGTATAGTCATATATACTTTTATATATTTTTGTATGCAAAGTAGGTAATAGAAATCAATTAAAAGTTATATTGAATTAATTAAATACTGTCAAGTGACACATATAATAAAAATGTGATTAAATAAGAAAAGATTCTAGAAAGAGTTAAGTAATTGTTAAGTGTTTTAATGTAATAATAGATTTGTAATAAATCGAAGGAAATTAAAACTTACTTATTCATTAAAATGAATGAATCTAACATTTCTCATTTAATTATTGTATTATATTTTACATCCTTTAAATATATAAGTATAATGAGAAAGTGTATATTAAGTTAGTTGAGATGTTTGTGTCACAGGAAACGTGATAACCTACATATAATAAGACTATTAATTGCATACATCTTTGAAGTGGGTTGTTTTATTAGTTTAGTACTATAAACCATTGGTCCTGTTTAAAAACAGGTTTATATTGCCACTACACCAGTAAAATTGTAGAGCCACAATGGTTCGATTCATTGAGGTAAGTCTGTTAGATTGAAAAATCAGTGATTCTTGTTCGAAATCGGTACAGTTTATAATCGGTTCACATTTTTGGTATTAATGGATTTCTAATTAATTTAATAAGGAGTTTTTCGAAAAGTAGTGACCTAAAACAACAAAAATTGTTTTTTTATATTATTTTAATTAATTTAATTTTTGGCTGACCATACTGGTATTTTGGGTATTGCCAAGTACTAATTTTATGAAATAAATTATATTTGACTTATTTCTGACCAAGAAGTCTTTCAATTTTTGAAATGAATGACAGAAGCTTCGCATTAGACTTTTCACACAATTTTTAGTTGCACTGTATTAAGTTACCATACGAGACTTGGGCTTGATCTGTTACATAGTGTGTTACCTAGCTGTTTTTACAGTTCCATTTCTAGTTATTCTGTAAGGACAAAACTATAGGTGAGCAATAGTTTTTGACAACAAACTCAATAATTGTGATTGACTAAGCATCTCACTCATTTGAAATATCCGTATATAACTTTTTTCTATTTCCGGGAGTACATTAACCATAATAGGGTTATGTTAGTTTTATATAGGCGTTTAAAATCGATTGTTGTAGGATTTGGAAATCATATTTCAATCAGACTACGAAAAATATATGGACGGTTATATTAAGCATAGGCATACTTTTATTGCATTTTGTGGATGACAAAATAAGCCAATTTTTTTTTTATTATTTTTTATTTGATGTTTTAAAGCATATGTACATTAAAATTAACAAATGTTAAAGTGCCATGTAGTACGATTAAAAAAAGAAAGCAAACTAATTCGTGATAGTTAACAACACTAAAAAGTAGAGAATTATTAATGGAAAATAATATAAATTAATTTCTCATAAATTTTTGTTTAGAAATTGTCTGTACATATATTTTTAATACTAAAATTAAAACGTACAACGTTCTGTTGAGCATAAAAGTTTTCGAAAAATATTTGTGCGAAAAATGATTTCTGAAGCAACCTTCACAATACTCGTATAAAGGTACATCCGAATATATACGGTACTGGACAGTACGGTACAATCTCATACGATATAATCGTGAATCTGCTGGAATAAAATAATTAAAATAACACACTAAGATTATCAAGATAATAATCAAGATGCGACAGGGTATGGTACTGTCAATGTTTTTTATGCTTCATTTTAGCATTTTTTTTGAAAACATCTTTTCAAGTAAATAATTATCAAAAGGGTTCAAATAGAACATTTCCTTTTATCTATTTGTAGTATAATTACACATTTTTTATATATGAAGTACATATATCTTAAAAGTTCTGGTATTAATATGATAAGATATTTAGTTTTTATAATCAAATGTTAACTGACAGATATATGTAACGATTACCTTGTACTTTATTAATATAAATATCGGTACATAGTACGATTACGGTTATATGTACCGTACCGTGTCTGGATGGGCATACCTTAAAAAGGTATTAGAAATTTCTGGAAATACATTTCAGTAACCTTCAGAGAATGGATTGAATATTAGTAATCAACTCAAAATAATTTTAGTTTAATCATTTTATTTATTTAATGATTTTAGGAATTTTTCTATTATTTGTGTTTAACTTTGAATATTTAAATTTTTATTATTTTCAATGGATTTTTTTCAAAATAAATTGAATTAAAACATTTAAATTGGAATTTAATCGAACTTAAAAATAATTTTTACATACTGACGTGTTTAATTAAAATTCAGTGCACAACCTCGGCCATTGACGAAAAGATATATAGATATGTATATACCTATATATACTCTTTTCATAAATAAATCAACGAAATTAATCAAAGAAATAAATATACACAAAAGTATAAAGTATTTTGTTTTATTTATATAATTTCCTTTTCTTCGCTACTTACTTCGCAAATGGATTTTTTTAAAACCGTTTTTTTTTTTAATTTTTTATATCGTGTGTACTTTATACGCATTTGTATTTTTTATATATTATCGCTTGATATCTTTTTCGTTGGGAAGTGAGTACAGCCATTTTTTAAAAATGGCCGCCACGACTTCATATGTAAATTATTTATTATCGTTTATTGTTTTATTTTTTTTTTATTTTTCAAGACATATTTTGTCTGTCTATTTTGAAAATAATTTCTTTTCTTTTAATTTTTTTAATCTTCTTAAATGGCGTGTGCATTTTATTTATCTTCACGGGTTTCTATAAACGGAGTTGGTGCCATTTTTAGGGTTCAGTACATTTCTACATTGGAGTATTACTAATCGTACAGTAAAATAATCATAACTAAAAATAAAGCATTTCCTGTACAAAAATTAAAAAAAATAAAATAAAAAAATAGTTTTAATCAAACTTGCCTTCACAAAAATTTCCAAGTAAAATTTTTTTTACTAATATTTTTATAATAATTTTAGTCATAAGTTTCAATTTTTATTTAAAGAACGTTTGTAATTGAAATTAATTTATTTTAATAATTTGTTAACCTACTTTCACTTTGGCTATAAATTTTTGTTTTATTATTATTATTATTGCTTGTTGAATTTTCACCACTACTTTCTAATTTTTTTTACTAATAATTTAAGCAATAAAATTATATTGAATTAATTCACAATTGAACTTACTTTTTAATTTGCTGCTGCTGGAGGCTTCACGTGTCCATGGTGGATCGCCATGCCCAGAGAAGTCTCTTAATTTTAAATAGCTTATTGTCAGTCTTATTATGGAAGCCTTATCCAGTTGGCTTGTTATTGCTGCAGGTAATGGTAACATTTTCGCCAGTTCATAGAATTCATAATTTTCCTTTCCACGACGCGAACGCGCTGCATCCCGTGATTTCTCTTTGCGTAGCTCTAAAATACTATAAATAAAATATATTTAATTAATAATTAAAGCCATTTAAATATATAGATTGCGAGATATGAGATATAATTTAAATCTGTTTCTGTGCTTAGTAAAATAAGCTTTAATACTTAAAATCACTTAAAATACTTAAATTAAATAAATAAATACTTAAAATTAAAGTCACTTAAATATTACTAAAATAAAAATAGTAGTCTATATACAATGATTGCGAGATATGAGATATAATTTATAATCTGTTTCTGTGTTTAGGGAACTAAGCTTCAATACTGATATGTTTATATTTTGAAATGGTTATAATTAAATAAATCCTAACTATTTATTTGTGACTAAAAATGTGATATTGACCTTGCTATTTGGTGTTAAAATATGACTATCTATTTAAAGTATTCATTTTTAGACTAAAAATAGTATACTGGATAAAACAGTTTGATGAAATCTATAAATTCCTATGTAATTTCAGCCATAACGATGAAATGAGTGTCCTTATATCAGTATATATCAGTATTTAATGTAGAGTACAGATAATGGCCACGTATCTGTTAGTACGTATCCTTGTACAAATCTTGCAAACATCAGTTTATTTTAATCAGCTTTCCTTAATAGGTTATTTAAACAAAAATATGTCTGTGATATTCAGTAGTCTGGATACGATTACTGTGATAGGTTATAGGTTATCGTGATGGTATACCAGATTTATAAAAAGGTTTCGACAAGTAGCGAACTACAACAACAAAACTTAGTTTTATATTATTTTAATTAATTGAATTTTTGGCTGACCATATATATATAGATTTCTTATTTTTAATTATTCGTAAATAAAAACTTCTTATTTTTAATTTTTCGTATATAATAAATAATAATAATTCGATAATAGAGAGAATATCTCAATTTGTTAATACTTTAAAAATGAACATTTATTTTAAAAATGAACATTTAAAATTTTTGCAACAATTCTTATTTTTATTACAAAGCTGTTTTGATTTAATAAAATTTTCACACGCTCTAGAAATTGGAGAACGGTTGAAGTTAAGATGCCCACAAGAACTAAAGTAAAACCGTTTGTTATAATTTAGTCGGCCATAATCCATAGCCGATATATGTTGTTGTTTTAAAATCGTAATGTCGAGATCAATGCAAATAATTCCTGCGAAAAATTTTCAGATAGTGAAGTTTTAATAAGAGTCTCCACTGTTATACTAAGTACTCCTTTAATACCAATCACTTAGATATAACTAACGACACCTCATTTCGACCGAATTTTCAAGTTCACTAGACACTAACATGCACAATTTCTCGATATAAAGTATTTTTCAGACCAAGGTCAGCACTAGAATTTACTAGGGTGTATGTGTACTTAAGAAAGTTGTTCTTCATGAATAAATAAAGATTTTTGACGTTCGTAATTGTGCAGCATGAGATGCTTTTGTCGACTAAATCAGAGCTATAATGCATACTTAAGTCGTCTATATCGATGATTTGATATATCGAATTTGAACACATTAAAAGAAAATATACTGTTCTAAAAAATTGTGGTTCAATTTGTGGACATAGTACTTGGTTTATTTATGTTTTAACTCATATGGAACAATTTGTGGAATAGGTGTAAGATGTCAACTACTTTAAATATCTTAGAAGTATAGTAACCATTAACGGATGTGCTATTGTTCATGTTAACAATCATCTTTGGACTGCTACTAACTTAAGAAAGATTTGAAACATGTATTCTAAAACGAAAAGCAAAATTTTCAATGTTTGTGTCAATATCCGTCTGCTGTATGACTGAATTACTTATAGATGATTGTGACGGATATTTAGTATTTAGTAGCCTGTAGTTATTATCAATAAACTTTTTTGGGTTAAAATGAATAAACAGTCAATTGGCAACGAATTAATTAAATGAAAGTACAATAAATTTTTGGGGTTGCAGTTTTCGGAAATCAGTCAAGAAAATCGTCTATGCGGCCTTAGTCTATGCTACATAAGAAAATAATCCATAAGGATCCATAAGAAAAAATAAGGCAGACTGGCAACTTTGTTGAAATTAAGTAAAGTCTATAAACATCAATAAAAAATATTTGTTAGACTTCTTTAAAAAATACTTGTATTAATTCATTATTAATAATGAATTTTTATTCATTAAATTTATAATGAATTACGTCATTTTCATTATTTATAATAAGTTATGTTATAAAATTCTTTGAGATTAACTATGTTCATTTTTTAAATAAGTATTATTTATATAAATAATACTTTTAATTTTAGATTTGGTTAAACGTCATTTCATACTAATTGTACTGGGGTATAATAGTTCTAACAAATGTATTTATTTGTAAGTCTCATTATATATTTATTTATTTAAAATCACTATGATTAATAATATCCCTTTTGGACTATACTTAAAACAATTATAGCCTAGCCTTCAGTAGGTAGCCATAGTGAGTATAATAAGTTCTTTTATTTATATATATCTATATATAAATACTATGTACTTCTATTTTTTTTTACTTTAAGCTAAAAACTTACAACAGTTACTAATATAGCCGCGCCGTTAGCTCAATTTGCAATAATTGATATATAATAATATGAATATATTAGCAAACAATTTTATATATAGAAATAAAAAGTATAGAAAGAACACTATATAACATTATTTTAAAAACCATCTGTAGAGTGTTGTTAAATTTTTGTTATTCTCTTTTTATTTCTATTCGAATCTTTCTAACTTTTAATAGTTTGTTTCTGTCACAAGAGGAATTACTTTCAAAAAAAAAATATTAACGTTGTTAAATTCTTTTTTTTCCACTCTGTATTACTTACTTCATTTAATACATCAGCTACATCAACAATTTTAGATTAACTAATCATTAATGAAAGTATGCTATAATATTAGGATGATCTAATTCATTGAATAATGGGCTCCATTTACAATATCATTAGATTGAATAAAAAATAATCCTGTCATTATATTGAGAATACAAAAATGATTAAATATTGGTTCCAATTTCTATAACATTAGACTTCATAAAAATAATCCTGTTTATAAACTATAGTACATTTCATTAAATTCTCAACTGAAAGTCTTCTTCAAAGACTTTTTTATGAAAAATATAAAAAACAAGTTAAAAAGGTGTTTTAGAGCAGCTCGACGCAGCTGTCATTTAGAAAGACAAAAATATTTCAAAATGCTATCCATGTGAGAATGAGTGATGCAATGCACCTTCGCAGGCAACCTTTCGTCGTGTGACTCTTAAAATTGTTGCTGATGAATAGATGTCAACAGCAATTACAGATTGAAATGTGTTGTATCTTGCATGTTGTATATTCTTCTAAAAACATGAATAATTGCCTGCAATTTATAACAGTTTCAGCGCCTTTTGTCTAAGACAGTGGTGTATCTCTTAGGATTGTTATAGATTTTTTCGTGGCATTATCTACTAAAAAATATTCAATTTGTTAAACGCTTAAAAACTAAAAAATGTGCAAGTGTGAAAAATGTTTAAGAATAAAAAAAAAAATATGAAAAAATATTTTCTCACAACTTTATTTGTCTACTTTAAATTCTAAGATAGAAAAATTGCTATTCTTTGTTGAATACAAACACAATTTTATTTATACTCATACAATTTGACTTGATAAATGTTTTCTTTATATAGTTAAGTAAATTTATGCTTACACTTTATTTATTTGTAGTTGTTAAAACTTTACTTAGTTTATATATATACATACATTATTAGTTTAAAATTTACTTTTAACACAGATACTTCTTTTTATTTTATAAATATATTCTCATATATGTATTAATATATAACCGCAACTCAGATACATTTTTATCTTCCTATAAAAGCACCGCTGATCTTTATTGGTATAAAGTTGGTAGTCTCAGTCTAAGTTGAGCTCATTTACATGCAGCTCTTTATACTTTTAGTGCCGCTTAGTTTTCATTCATAAAAGCATATTTGCTCTAAGCTGAGCTTTATCCGCAATATCTTGCTTTAGTTACATTTTTTGACTTCTTTATTTTACCATTGAGTGAGTGTACGTACTTTAAACTCAAAACGAAGTTTCTGTTGTCGGCTTTAGATTTTGTCTTAAAGCGTAAAAATGTTGGGATTATATCTGAAGCCCACATCAAGTTTAGCATCAAGAAGAACAACAATAAAAACAACAACCATTATCGTTCTGCTTATGTATCCATAAGATAGATAGTTTCATAAGAAAAACTTCATTTAAAATGATCATAATTTTTACTTCTGCTTTTGTTCTTTTTTACCTATTGTTGTTGTTTTAGGTCGTTCATTATGTTGTCTTCAAAATTTACTTTTATGTTTACTTGTAAAAATCTGTCATAATATTTATATGAAGTTGTTTCTTGCTTTATAAAAGATTTTGTTGACATTTTTTTATTTCGGTTCAAAACTCTTTCTCGAACTGTTAACAGATGCTTATCTTGTTGAAATTTCTTGTTAAAAAATTATAAAAATATTTTTTGGTAATTAACTAAAAGCTATAAAGCATTTACAGTCATGTGTTTGCCACGGGCCAAAAGTTCTTCAGACATTTATGAAATTTATTAATATTTTGTCTTTAGCTCAGATTGCAAAATAATGTTTCATTAACCGAATTTTACAAAGTACGTGCAAAATTTTAAAATTCCTACCTTAATAAAAGCGTGTTAACTTCATTTAAATAGTGAACTCAATTTAATAATTGCTTTAAATTATAGTGAAAAATTAAATTTTTAGTATTAAGAATTAGGTTAACATATTTAGTAAATATTTTAAATCAATTTGAATCATTAAGAAATATAGAGTTATTATAAATATAGAGTTCCGATTGGCTTGCTTTGGTAAAGCTATTCTATCTTATGAAGGCATTATAAATGTTTTAAACGGTTCGGAGGTAGAATGGGTAAGAGTAGCAGAATATGTAAAAAATTGTATAGCATATCGGTATTATTTAATATCACAATATAATAATTAATATATAGTTTGTGGA